CTTCCCCTTGGTCCTGTCTCCGGGTAGGAGGCAAGGACGATAAGCCTCTTATAGACAGAAAAGCCAGAGAGGGGGGAAGGAGCTTCTCCAGGGTGACCCACTGATTCCAGCCCTGGCTCTGTCGCAGCCACTTCTTCAAATGCACTCCTCAACCTCCCTCTGAAGACAGACCACAACCACACAATTTCCTTCTAAGACGGGCTGCAGGGGAAAGAAGAGGAAAAAAACTGTGAGAGAATGCTGAAATCAGCTGCTTGGGAGCTTCTGAGTCAGCACCCTCCAGAGCAGAGTGGTGGGTGGGAAACAGGCTGCTCTCCCACAAAAACCCCAAAAGTATCAGTGACCCAAAAGCTGAAAACCAACATGCACAATTCCAGAGCAGGAGCCTCCTGTTGACCATGGGTGCCAAGCTCTCGGGGGCTGGAATTCCTCACCCACCCGTTCCCAGCTGCCTCCTGAACAAGCTGTGGAGTTCAAGAGACAAGGACATGCAGGGCACCACAACATTGTGCACGGAGCCTCTGCACAGATGTGTGTTATCAAGGCCTGCCTGGAGCAGGGCTCGGTTCCGAGTCCTTCCTAAATTGTCAAACACAACAATGATCTCATTCCAGAAATGAGTTTTTCCAAGAAGACTTGGATAGCATCACATTTTAACTAGTTGTTGCTTTTAAAGTGAAGGGGTAGAGGAGGCTAGATGGGGATGCAATGGAAAGAGAGTCAAAATGTTCTCATCAGTGATTTACTAAAGTAATTCAACATCAAGTGCTGCATAGGATATAGCATTACATGAAAAAAAGCAAGACACAAAACTGTATGCAGGCGTAAACACACATACTAACTTAGAAAAAGTTTGGTCCAGGTACTTTGGGAGGCCGAGGCAGGAGGATCGCTTGAGCCTCGGAGTTCAAGACTAGAATAGGCAACATAGCGAGACATCATCTTTACAAAAAAATAAAAAAATTAGATGTGGTGGCATGTGCCTACAGCTGCAGCTACTCAGGAGGCTGAGGAGGTAGGATTTCCTGAGCCCAGAAGGTCGCAGCTGCAGTGAGCCATGATCATGCCACTGCCCTCCAGCCTGGGCAGCAGAATGAGACCGCTGATCATTTAAAAAAGCCGGGCTCAGTGACTCAGTCTGTAATCCTGTGCCTTTGGGAGGCTGAGGGGAGTGGATTGCCTGAGCCCGCAGGTTCGAGACCCGCCTGGGCAGCGAGACCTAATCTCTACAATAAATCAAAAAATCAGCCGGGCGTGGTAGTACATGCCTGTAATTCCGATTACTTGGAAGGCTGAGGCGGAAGGATTGCTCGAGCCCAGCAGGTCGAGGCGGCGGTGGACGGGAGCGGCCACTGCACTCCAGTCTGGGTGACAGAGTGAGACTCCAACTCAAAAAAAAAAAAAAAAAAGAGAAAGAGAGAAAAGAAGGAAAAAAGCTTGGAAGGAAAGACGTTAGACTCTTAAAATATGAGTGATAAAATTATAGACAGTTAAAAAAAATTTTCGCTCTTCAGAATATTCTAGACCTAAGGATAATCCTCCAGCTCTCTGGAAAGGTTTTGACTGAGCACACAGCTTTGGAAGGGATGATGTGAAACCGTGAGAGTGAAAAGAGTTCCTTGTCTGGTTTGCCAGATGGTCCAAATTAATCCAGTTCACCAAGAAGGAGACAGGCGGCACAGACTGACCACACATCCATCAACTTCCCTGTATTTTTCAAGATTTCTTTAATGAATGTGTATGGCTTTTCCAGTGGAGGGAAAAAGATATTCCATCTCAGCAATCCCAGGGAAGTTAGGGACCTGAAGCATCGTTCATCCTGGAGCCTCAAGGGCTTGGCAAATTTCCGATTTCTCTATGCCATGACATGTGAGTCTCCCGATACCGCAGGATTATGTGGGGTGAAGAGAAGAGAAAAAGCATGCAGGAGCTCTGGATATGAGGTCTGGCAAAATTCTAAAATGCAAGATTGATTCAGAAAACTGTGGATTCTGGTGGTTGAACAAAAAAAAGCTATGTATTCACTCAGCTACAGAATATTCCTGTTTCCCAAGTGACCCGTTTTCCTCGCTGAGGGCCATTCACACCTCATCTCCCACCCATCCTGTGCCTCTCAGGTCTGCACTCTCTTCAGAGAAAAGTCTCATCTCGAAGGAGGCGAGGAGGTATCTAACATGCCCGGGTCCTACCAAGCACCAGGCCAGGGCCTTCATCTCTGTCTTCTCCTTCAATTCTCCAAATAATGCAGAAACAAGAGGTGTTGGCCCATCTTTAAAGAGAGGAGAAATAAAAGGCCAAGACAACCAAGGTCATACATAGACTGATGAATTGTGGAGATGAAATGTGCACATGCCATCTGACCTGAAAGCCCTTGCTCCCAGGCAGTATGGACACATGCTGGCTTTTGGGGTGAAGACATACCAGAGGGTTATTTCTGGCTCCTGATGGGAAAGGAGGGATAGGTCCATCATGTTTGCTACTATCTTCTTAAAAGAAAAACACTGCTAGAAAGGTCCATTACACACAATGCTGGGCTTCTTGCAGCCTTTATTGTGGCTACGGAAGGGAATGGAAACTCCATTCCACCATACTGGAATTTTTAAGGCAAAGCCTAGGACTCCCATGGGTAAGGCTGATCCCTCTCTGAACCCTGGGCATCAGCCTCGGTCCCACATATGGGTGTGGCTCTGACTGAGAGGAGCCACTATAGGGCATGTCCTCCTCTTATGGCAGGCAATGTACTAGGACGTTCACATACACTCTCTTATTCCTCACAACTATACGCCTAGAATCACACATCTGGCATGTGGTATAATGGGATTTAGGTCCAGGCCTGTCTGCTACAGAGTTCACACTTTTTCTGCTAACTCAGACAGAACCATCTAGTAAATACCAATCTACTATCATGCTGATGGAGAAAGAGTTGATCCCTGTTGCCTGTTTAGCACTTCAAATCATGACTTTTCCACCTGCTTTACCCTCCCATGACATCCCTATGTCCTACACTTTCTGGCAATTCCAGTTTTGGACACTGTGACCCCACCACCCCATGAGTGTCACATTTGTCTAATGGCAAGCTCTGTTCCAGGAAGGCTTGCTTGCCAGCCCATGTCTGTGCAACCCTTCAAGGAGGTGCAGTTACTCCTCTCAAGGGATAGATCATTTACATGTTCCCAATTTGCTTCAGACACACCTCCTACTTTCTCTTCCCACCTAAGCCCCAAGTTCCTTTCAAATCAACCCTTCCCAACTGGAAGACCATTCTCAAGGAGGGAACCCTAGAGGCCACTGAATAACAATTTGTAAAAGAAACTACAGCCTTGCCTAAAATTATTCTGCTTACTGTCTTTGCAAGTGATACAGTGTTAGATGGAATGGTCCCTTTGAGTACAACTCCAGAGTGGGAACTACCAACTTGTCACTTAGCTGGAATCAATGTAAAGTCCTGTGCTTAGATTCAGAAATTAAGTGCTCTGGGCAGGTGCATAGCTCATGTCTACAATCCCAGCACTTTAAGAGGTCAAGGCGGGAGGATCACTTGAGGCCAGGAGGTTGAGACCAGCCTGGGCAACATTTATTTTTACAAAAATAAAAATAAAAAAATATGAAAATGAGGTGCTCAAACATGACACTATAAAAAGTTGGCTTGGCTATAGCTTATTCATAAAACAAAAAACCTCTCCCTTTGAACCATAGCTCTAAAAAATAAAATTAAAAAACCTCAAACTTTTGATAGTAAAGCTAAAAACAAGCTCAAGAGCGTAAGGTGACTGTCTAACAGAAAAGTGAATGTACTGCCAGGATGCAGTAGTGAAAATAGAATGTCCAGATCACAGGAAGCTCAGCCCTGAGCCTTTGTCATCCAGCAGGACAAACAACGTGCTGGATCCTGGGAAGCATGCTTGACAGATGACACAGTCATCAGAGAAGGAAGAGACATGGGATCTAGTTAGATAAGAGAGAACAGAGAAACACAAGGTTTCAGATATTTGACAGGTTGTCACATGGAAGAGGGAGTCTAGAATGTGAACCACTAGGTAGAAGTTCCTGAGAAACAAGTGCTGATTCAATGAAAAGAGGAACTTCTGGCAGGAGAAATAACAGCTCCCAAAGGGGTCCACATCCTAATTCCTGGTGCCTGTGACTGTGTTACTTTACACGGTAAAAGGGATTTTGCTGATGTGAGGGTTCCCTCCTTGAGAATGGTCTTCCAGTTGGAAAGAGTTGATTTGCTGGTATGGGGAGAATTTCCTGGGTTATTCTTGAGGCGCCTATGTAATCACAGGGGTCCATATGAGAGGAGGCAGGGGCATCAGAGAAAGAGGCGTGACAACAGAAGGAGAGATCAGAGTTGGAGAAGACTTGAGAATGCTACACCGCAGAGCTTTGAAAATGGGGGAAGGAGCTAGAGGTGGCCTCTAGGAACTGGAAAAGGCAAGGAAATAGATTCTTCTCTAGAGCATCTAGAAGGGTTGCAACCCTGTGGACACCTTGGTTTCCACAGAATAAGATCTAGTTCAGATTTCAGACCTCCTGAACTGTAATAGAATAAATATATTGTTTTAAGCCTCTAAGTCTGTGACTTGTTGGAGCAGCAACAAGAAATGAATACAATGTTTAACAAGTGGAGATGCTTATTATTAGCCCCAGTGAGCTTGGTGTCCTGGGAGGCTATCAAGAAGAGGTTGAACATCTCTACCTGCCAGGAATGCTGGGCAGGCCAGTCCTGCATTAATTGGGAGGTGAGCTGGGTGGCCACAGGCAGGCCCTTCCAATTCTGGGAGTCCACAATCTATGGTGGTGCCTCCTGCTTTTGTATTCAGCATACTGGTCTGCACCTGCTGCCTGGTGGTGGGCAAGGCTTGTCCATGGTCTTCTCCCAGGAGAGCTGTGGTAGTGACACTTTCCACCACCACCTTGAGCAAAGGCAGGCTTTGGAAAGATGTCCTAACAGCACCTGGGCCCGGCTCAGAGCAAAAGTGCTTGCTGGGGATGCCTACCTGAGCAGAGAACTCCCTTGTTCCTGGCGCAGGAGAAGTTGTCACACTCACAGAAAGGCCCGTAGATCTTTCCGAACTCGCTCTCGAAGCAGGAACATTGGTTGCAGCTGCACTCCCCACGCCCGCTGCACAGGGGCTTGCCGTCTGCCTCCCTGCACAGGTTCTGGTACACACTCTGGTTCTCCCCCTCCTGGCACTCGCACTTGGTGCCCAGGTAACTGGGGTTGCACTCGCACAAGCCGCAGATATAAGTCCCGTTCCCGCTGCACCTGGCGCTGTCGGTCTCCAGCCCTGCGCTGCAGCTGCATGTACAGTTGTAGGTGACACCCACCTCCAGGCTGTCCCGGAATCCCACAGGCCGCAGGGCGAACATGTGCTCCGTGTGTCTGCTGGGGCAGCTCCTGGCCTCCACCGACACCTCAAATGATGCCTGGGCAGAAAGAAGAGAGGGGACACTGCAGCCACAAGCAAGCCAGGGCCTCCTGATCACCCATGGGCCCCCAGAGCACATCTCCTCTGAGGCTCTCAAGGAAGAGCAGCTGCTAAGTGAGCTCTTTCCATGCACACAGAACCACCAACAAGCCCAGGTAGAAAGAGACCTCACAATGAGCAAGCTCTACTATGGAGAAGAGAATAATATGCAGGTATACCAACATCTGATAGGCACTGCACTGGGTTCCTTGACATTTATCATTTCTTTGCATCCTCATGACGTTGAGGACTGGGCTCCCGCAGAGAGGTACAAGGATTCCTCAAGTTTACACAGCTTTTGTTCTCCCTTTTCTTTTCTCTTCTTTCCTATCCTCTTCTGACCCATCCTGCAGGACTCCTCTTTCCTGCCCATTTTGAAAGTCATTCAGTAAAAAGTTATATAAAACTATGTGAACATAATTATCGCAAAAATGAAAGACATATTAAATATTTGTCTAGTTAAAATATTTAAAAATAATATTTCAAAACAACAATGGTTATGTCTCATGATAATATTACGGATACTTTTTTCCTTTTGAGTATTTCTACAATCTTCACTTTTTAACAATATTTATATTTTCTTTTGTGATCATAAGAATTAGCTACATTTTAAAGTCCAAAAAATAAAAATAAGTCCAAAATATTTTTTAAAAAAAAGTCATTCTGTCAACAAATATTTTCTGGGCACTGCCTCTGAGCTAGGCATGAGGCGAGATGCAGGGGCACAGTGGTACCCCTGCTCTAGAAGCACGGGGTGGAGAGTATCCTTGCTCCCTAAGAGCATCCCGTCCCTGCTGGCCAAGGGCTGAGCTGACTCCTGAGCTCTCTCTGCAGACACCCCCAAAGCCTCCTGTGCCCCAAGTCCCCTAGTGAGTGGTTCTTACAGCTGCACTTCTCACAATCAGCTCATGGCCTGAGCTCTTAAAGAGCCATTGTTGTCTGATGAAATACATCATACATGTGAACAGACTTTTTCTTTTTAAATAGAACATGTTAGAAAGTGTTTCTAACTCCGGAGCTTCTCAAAGGTTGCCTTGGAAACAGGCAGCAAGGTGGGCCTCGCTGGGAGGCAGATGGTACAGGAGAGATGCCTGTCAGCCGCCCAAGAACTGGGATGTAAGGAGGGCAGGCATGCAGCTTGAGCTGAGTCTTCAGGAACTAGAGCATGCATGACATACCTACCCTCTCTCTCTCACCCCACTGAGGAAAGGAGCCATGTGGGGTTCAAATCACCCAGCAGGGTCCTTAGAGCAGGGCCCATAAATGCTATGGAAATGTAGACAGGTGGCGAGCACACCCTGAGGAAAGGCCAATGTGAAGTGCTTCCCCATGAATGAAACTCTCCCTTGCTCCCAAAACATTCAGAGGCCTGACCCACTGCTGATCACAAGCTGACTCACTGACCCTGAGCCCAGATGTCTTTATTTTTCAAAAAGTTCCTCAGATCATTCTGAAGCTTAGACTGGGTTAGAAACCACTTTTAACTATCACTGTTCTTAATTCTATCATTTGGATTGGAATAAAGCTAATTAAAAAATAATAATAATAAATAAAGCCATGGTTTTGCTACGTTGCCCAGGCTAATCCCGAACTCCTGGGCTCAAGGGATTCGTCTACCTTGGCCTCCCAAAGTGCTGCGATTATAGGCATAAGCTACCATGCCCAGCCAAAGCTAATATTTTTTTTTTTTTTGAGTTGGAGTCTCACTCTGTTACCCAGACTGGAGTGCAGTGGCCACTCCCGGCCACTGCAGCCTCGACCTGCTGGGCTCCGGCGATCCTTCTGCCTCAGCCTTCCAAGTAGCCGGAATTACAGGCATGCGCTACCACGCCCGGCTGATTTTTTGATTTATTGTAGAGATGAGGTCTCGCTGCCCAGGCGGGTCTCGAACCCATGGGCTTAGGCAATCCACTCACCTCAGCCTCTCAAAGGCACGGGATTACAGGCTGAGCCACCAAGCCCGGCTCAAAGCTAATTTTTAAAAAGCCATCATTAGCTTGCTTTACTGGACACTCTTCAGGTCACAATGCTTATTTTTTTATTTTTTTGAGAATACTGAAAAATATGTTTTTAAACACTCTAGACACCTCTATCAATTTGAAATCTTTACAACTTCTCAAAGGCCTCGCCTCAGGATTTGTGACATCTAAGAATACTGGGGAGGGGGTGGGTGTGTGGAACTGAGCGGGAAGATAGACCTGGCTTTCTAAGTTCTGAGTAAAGTCCTGAATGACAGCAATTCGCCATTCCAGAGGACGTGATGGCAAATGCCCAGGACCAGGCACTAGCTGAGAGGTTCAGTAGAAGAGGCTTTTATACTGATGGGCTGAGGACAATGACCAGAAGCCCAGAGTCAAAAGATACTAGGAAGACCAGTTGGCAGACAATCTGGATGAGCTCCACTTCACCTTCTATCTGTGTGGGGGAGGAAGGAGCAGGAGGAGGCAAAAGGGAGAGATTGACAAGAGCAAGCTCAAAGCTAAGTTCCAAGGGCTTGAGGGACAGGGAGGCTCTCAAGGTAAGGAAAAAAGATGGGACCTAAAAAGGCACTGCAATCTGTGAAGGACAATAGTTAACAGTTGCCGTGTGCCTACTATGTCTCAGGCACTGTGCTGGACATTTTTATAAGTATCTCTTTCATATGCCCCAGAAGGAGGTATCCTCATTTTATCAGAGAGAAGGCAGGGTTGGTAGGATCAGTGAACTTAGTGGTCACATAGCTGGTGACAGGTGGGGCCAGGCCTAGAACTAGGTCTGTACGCTCCTTGGCACATCACCTACTAGAAGGGGCATGAGGCAAACATCCAGTATCCAGATGTGGGTACAGAGGGAAAGCCAGCCTGGTTTACTGCAGGGACTACTTGAGGGTGACCCCCAAAGTAGTGGCCAGAGGTTTCTCCAAATCTTCTTGCCACGGACTAGGAAGGGTTCACACCTATGGATGGGAAGAGCGTGAGGGCTGGGCCTGCCTGAAGCTGTCACGGGGCCATCAGGAAGGCAGGTGAACAGCCTGGGGACAATGCATCCTTCCCTTCTGAGGTCCTGGGAGAAACAGTGACTTGCTTGAAGCTACTTGCAGCTTGTTCCAAGCTATAGTTGAAGCCCTATACTCCTGAGGCAACAACTTGCCCGACTGGTTAAATGAAAACCCTTCGCCTTACAAAAGCATCTGTAGGTCAGAAACAGAATAAACCACGAAGGAATAACTTGGACCAAGAGCCAAAGGCATTCAATTACTGAAAGCCTGTGGGGAGTATCCATCTGGTGAGTGTAACCATCTCCCATGGAAATTTGTCTGCATTAAGAGATAAAGTCAAGAAAGCAAGAATTAAATCCTGAGTCTTGCCAGTGTATCTGTGCTTGCCCAGTAGTAAGTGAGAGGTTGGGGAGCCCCTGAGGTGCTGGCACCTGATCACCCAGGATGCAGATGCACTCAGGTACTGTCTGCCAGGCTGGCCAACCAGGGAGGGCCTGGCTTTCCAAAAGGTCCTGCAGCTCTTCTCAGCCAAGGCTTCAGTACAAATGAGGTGCTATCTGTCTGGCCCCATGTGGCCTGGTGTGCAGCCAGATGCCTGATAACTAGCCTGATCACCAGAGAATGCTCTTGTCTATTTCAGCCACTGGGCCTCGGTTCCTGCTGGGCACAGGAAGTGCTATAAAAAGCACTTCAGGAAGAACAAGTAAATCTGTCGGCTTAGCCCTCCTTTCAGAGTTCATTTTCCCTGTCGGATTAGGAAAGAATCCAGAGAGGCTGGACAGCAGCTGGAACGAGGCTTTCTTGCATCTCTCCCCTGATGCCTGCGGAGTCCCAAGTGATACTGAAGGCTTTCAGGGTCCTGGAGACATGCCACTGCCCCACTCTGAGACTCAAGAGGAAGGTTACAGACCCAGTGCCCTCCTACCCAGTCTGGTTATTTCAACTTCACGGGGATGCTCCTGGCTCTCCTGCAGGGCTGCTGGCCTGATCTACCCTTTCAAAAGCTGCCCAGCTCCCACCCTACACCCACCAAAGCCCGGGCTATGCAGATGCCAAAGCCACTCAGATCTCAACAGAACAAAGAGCAGAGATGGGCACCGGATGCAGAGCCCCGGAGGAGTGGACAGGAGAGGGGGTGGGCAGGGGTGCCGTGGGAAGCCCATGACGGGGGGGTTCACTGGGTCCTTTGTACTAGCCACACAGCCAGCCACTTGCATACTGATTTGCCAAAGCCAGTTCATGGGAAAACTGCCTCCCAGTGGTTGGGTCCACTTAGAGAGCCCTTGGTGTTAGGACCATGGGAGGAAAGTCAGAAAAACAATGGAAATCACTGAAGAGGAGAGCCTTACTGGATTTGGGGCTTCTAAGTTTTTACTTAAGGAGTATTTCTCTCAGAGAACATCCTTGCCCCTCAGCCCCTGCCACCTCGCCTGCTTCTTGGGATAAGCAGATGTCTTAATCCAGAGAACACAGGGTAGTCACAGAACCACCATCCCTGGCTAGAAGTGACCATATGGCTGCTGTGTGCCCCTCCACCACCTCTGCAAGAAGATGTAATTATAAGGAGGTGAGATATGTCAGGTTGCTACTCATACAGCTGTCCCAAGGCTGCCCCCCACATAGGCCATGTCCTTGTCCACAGGCTAGAGCCTGAGATCCCTAACGGTAGTTGCATCCTGTTTGCTTTTCCAAATCCCTCTTCTACAAGGGAATCCCTAGTCCCTTGGCTGTGTGGCCATATACTTCCATACCCCCTTGCATTCCCTGAGTTGTTCAAAACTCTCCCAACTCGTGGCGCCAATGATTTATTCACCATTCAAATAATGACCAGATCCCCTAGCTTGGCATGTATGTCCCACCAATGAGACCCGAGGCTGCCACTCTCATCTCCGTCCTCAGCCTACTCCCCTCGCCTCCACAGCCACCACCCTCAGAGCTTTCTTCTTGCAAAAGAGCAGTGCTCATCATGCCCTAGCAGATGCATCCTGCTGACCTGCACATGCTGTGCCTACTGTCGAACGCCCCAACTTTTCTATGTCTGGAGAATGCATACTCCTGCTCTGAGTCTCACTCTAACAGCAGCCCTCTGCGATAACGGCCCTCCTTCCTCGGGCTCCCATAGCACCATGCCCGGCTTTCATCAGGGCACTTGTCCTCCTCTAGGGCTGGTTCTTCTGCATGTTTACTTCCTTCACCAGACTCCGAGTCCCTGAGCTGTCTGCCTCATCCAAACCTGCTGGGTGAACACAGTACTTGGCACATAAGCATTCACTGAGCAAAGGTAGGTTTCAGCACAGTCATTGGCAAGGTTCTGAAATGTATGTCCTTGGGACAAATGTCCAGAGGGAGATATTTGCACACACGTATGATTAGTTTAGTGTTCTGCTGTTGCTGTGTTGAAATTATTATTATTATTTTTTTGGGTTGGAGTCTCACTCTGTCACCCAGGCTGGAGTGTACTGGCATGGTTTTCTTGTGTAAGATAAGCTCCTTTCTCCAGCTCTGCAGCCTTCCCACATCGGATGGGCAGTTCTCCCATGAGTTCAACCCACCCCAATAGTAAACACAATAGACTAGAGACATGAGAACCTTAGTCAGGTCCTCTCTCCAGTAGATACTATCAACACTCTCAGAAAGCATGGTTACTCAGCTACGTGGAGCTTACAAAGCATGATTACTGTGCTGTTGTCAACCCATACTATATTATTCATTTAAAGAATTCATTAGGAATTGTCAAGAGCCTTCCTGAAACCTGGTATCTTATGTGTGTTGTATATACTCGATCAGGTAGTTAAGCCCTTTTTTCCACCTCTGTTCCATTGTACCTATTTCTCCAAGTAAAGAATTCCTTGTTAGGGTATATTTCGCACATCATTCCTCATCCTTCCTGTCATAATGCACCAAATATTTCACCCACAGATATATAGATAGACGGTAACGCGCGCCTGTAGTTCCGGCTACTTGGAAAGGATCACCTGAGCCCAGAAGGTCGATTCCGGGGTGGCCATGAACATGCCACAGCACTCCAGCCTGGGTGACAGAGCGAGACTCCAACTCAAAAAACAAACAAAAAAAGAATTCACCTACATGTTGTTTCTTGGTCTTCTTCCATTTTTCATGACTGTCTCTTTAAATCCTGTGACTATAAAGCTTTAGTTTTTAAAAAAAATTCATCTGGATCAAGTAATCATTATAATTGATCCAAGAAATATAAAATATCACAAATTTGACAATTATTAAAATTTTAAAAAGTAAAATTTTATTGGAAATACTTCTTTTTTTTGAGTTGGAGTCTCACTCGGTCACCCAGACTGGAGTGCAGCAGCCACTCCCAGCCACCGCAGCCTCGACCTACTGGGCTCCGGCGATCCTTCTGCCTCAGCTTCCGAGTAGCCGGAATTACAGGCATGTGCTACCACGCCTGGCTGATTTTTTGATTTATTGTAGAGATGAGGTCTTGCCTACCCAGGCGGGTCTCGAACCCGTGGGCTCAGGCAATTCACTCACCTCAGCCTCCCAAAGGCGCAGGATTACAGGCTGAGCCACCGAGCCTGGTAGAAATACTTCTTTAATGAGATGAGGCTTTCTCCTCAAATAGTTTATAATAATATCGCTCTTTGCTAAACAAGACAGGGGTCAGCATCAATTAAATTTCTATTTTTCATTTTGTAGAAATTTAAGCACAAAAATTCATATAAATTAAAAGACGGGAACGGAGTTTTGCTACAGCACTGTTCTTGTTCTATGAAGGCCTTCTGAGTTAAATGCCACAAATACTCATTTGTAATGACGTATCATCTGACAATTTGACTAGACCTTCTTTCAAGGTTGTTAAAAGCAAAAGAATGTAGAAACAACCTGTCTTAGAAAAGAATCTGTTAGTCAGTCAGCAGAGTCCTTTGATATTTTGATATTTATTTATTTATTTTTTGATTCGGAGTCTCACTCTATCACCCAGGCTAGAGTGCAGTGGCATGATCACAGTTCACCACAGCTTTAAACTCCTGGGCTCAGGTGATCCTCTAGCCTCAGCCTCCCAAATGGCTGCAGTATCCTAATGACATCTTTATGAATAAGACAAATAATGTGGGTTGTCAACACACACAGCACAGTAATCATGCTTTCTAAGTTCCACGTAGCTGATTAAGTGTGCCTTCTAAGAGTGTTGATAACATTAACTGGATCTGGCTGAGGTTCCCATGTCTCTTGTCTGCTGTGTTTGCCACAGACGTGCACCACGCTGCTCAGCTAATTTCTTTGATTTTTTTGTAGAGACAAGGTCTCGCTATGCTGCCTAGGCTGGTCTTGAACTCCTAGGCTCAAGTAGTCCTCCCACCTCAGTCTCCTAAAGTGTTGGGATTATAGGTGTGAGCTACCATGCCTGACCTGATATCGTATTTTGAACTGTACTTTGTTTGGTGGGGCAAGCTACCAGGGAAACATTTGGAAAAGGTAAGAGGTATGTCTGTGTGTTGTAAAGTGGGTGAAGGACAATTGTGAAAGGGAGGATGGGAAAGGATCTATGGCATAATGTGAAAAAACCCAGAAGGTCACCGGGAAGATATAACCAGCCATGCAACCAGCTCCTCGAGCTCTTTCTCTACAGCCAGGGGGTAAGTCAGTTTATATCCATCTTGGCTGTCGTTAGCGCTTGTGAATGCCCAGAGGATATGACAGTCTATTTTAAGGTCTTTATAACTTTTCTGACTCCAATCAGATGCTATTAAATGTGGAAGACAGTCAGGTGCAGTGGCTCACGCCTGTAATCTCAATACTTTGGGAAGCTGAGACAAGAGGATTGTCTGAGCTTAGGATGGTCTCAAATCCCTGAACTTGGCAAGACCTCATCTCTACAATACATCAAAAAACTAGCCAGATGTGGTGGCGTGTGCCTGTGGTTCCAGTTACCTGGAAGGCTGAGGTGGAAGAATCGCCTGAGCCCGGCAGGTTGAGGCTATAGTGGCAGTGAGTGTACCACTGCACTCCAGCCTGGGTGACAGTGAGACTCCGTTTCGAAACCAAAAAAGTGTGGAAGAGAACATTTCCCCACTGGCTTTCTATTTTCTGAGCACTGGAACTGCCAACAAAGCAAGTCAGGAATGGATCTCATGGTCTGCTTCTCTGGCAGGGCCTTCCAGAAGATCTGTGGATGGTTCTCCATCACCACTCTGTCTACCTCTCTGCTACAGGGTCTGTGTCTATGTTCTTGTCTCCCACATAACCCTTTCCCTGTCTTACTCTCAAATCCTTGGCTTGGCATACAGGTACACATTTTTACACACATCATCTATGTCCACTTAATCTGGGCAAGACATCTGTGCTCTCCATCACTGGGGAGTCATCCATTCCATCTCATCAGATCAGAATGGTAGATGGCTTTCTTCATATTTTACAGAAAGGAAAAGTGAGGGTCAGATTATCCAAGGCACAAGGCTGGCTGCAGAAGACTAGGATTAAAGCCAGGTCTTAGATTCCTACCCTTTCTATTCTAACTGATTATGTCTTTGTCAAGCTAGGAGGATAATGGTTTAAAACACCCAGGGCACAATGTTGACTTGAGGAAGCCAGTGGTGATGCCCTGAGGGCTGCCTATTGACTAGAGCTCTTTAACAAGTCCACCCAGGACTCTGAAGATGTGCAGAGCACGTCGGAAACTCTCCAAGGATGCTGAATTAAAATAATATAAACTTCTAAAGGTCTCTAATAAGTCCTAAGAGTTATCAGGACCCCAAAGACTGGTGGCGAATCCTAACAAGAACTCATAAACTTACCGTGTCCCCAATCTTCAGGCCCTCACACTTCCTCTGGCCAGGATAGGATATACCATCTTGGCAGGTAGCAGTGAAGAAGAGATTAAGATCCTCAGGCTGATCCCAGACTGACAGCTCCACTTTAGACCGGATACTCTAAATGGAGAAAAAATGAAGCCCAACCACTTAGTAAAGACTCCAGCTGAGATGCTCCCCACATCAGTTTTCTGATGCCCACATGGCTTCCTCTAACTAAGGAGTAAACTTGGCTCCTTGTCCCTCCCTCATCCTTTTCCTTCTCTCTACACCCACACACCACCCTTGTGAGACCTGGCCTGAGGTCTCCTTCTGTGAACTTGGAGAAGTTGTTTCTGGTCTACCTGCCATATGCTATTATCTGCTTCAAGGGATTATGCTCTGCTCGCCTCTCCAGAGCCACCTTTCATCCCCACCCTCAGCTTCAGACACGCAGTTGCTCAAATCTTGCCATGTGTTCACTAAGCTTTGGGCCTTTACATGTGCTGGAATAATTTTCCTTTGCCCAGTGGCTCTGCTCTCCTTCTTCCCCTGGCTAGCTCCTCATCATCCTTCAAAATCAGTTCAGTGGGCACTTTCTCCAGGAATCCACTCTATCATTCTTAACACTCACGCCTATCCCCCATCAGATGAAGTCCACATTCATGAGTTTGAAACTATACAATGAGGGAATCCAATCTTATGTGTGGGTTATGCTGTCATGACAGTAAATGAAACAAAAACCAAGTCAAAATTATCCATCAGAATAGAAAAATAAAAGAGAAAAAACATCAATGTTTCAAAAAGATATGGAGCAATGGGGCTCTCATACCCTGCTGGTGGGAGTGTGAATTGGTACAACGCTAGGAAACCTCTAGGCAGGACCTACTAATGCACAGGCCAACCTGAGAACTAGCGTCCACCCTAGGATTATAGCCAACAGAAACATACATCACCAAAAGACATGGATGGGGATATTTACAACAATACTATTTGCAATAGATAGAATCTGGAAGATACCCAAATCCCTATCCACAGATTTTGATTTGATTTAAAAAATAGAACAGATTTTTTAAATGTGGTATGTTCACATAGTAGAATACCATACAGAAATGAAAAGGAACAAAATACAACTGCATGCAATGATGTGGACAAATATCATAGATATAACAGAAAGAAGGCAGACACAAAGCATATATAGTATATGATTCAATTTATATGAAATTCAAAAAGAGGCAATATTTATGGTTACCCTTGGGGAACAGTGATGGAAGAGAGCACACCTGGGACTCAGTGCTGGCAATGGTGTTTTTGACATGGGTGCTGGATACTCAGGTGTGTTTAGTCTGTGCAAGGTTTGTACAGTTCTCTGTGTGTTTAAAAAACTGTCCTTGAAAAATCTCTAAGGAAGATGCCACTTTGGAGACTGAGGACAAATAAAGTGACTGGCTTGTATTCAGGGATTATATTTTATCCCAAATTGAAAAACAACCATCTGTTTATACACCAAACACATAGTACAGCAGGATGTATCTGTCTGAGAGACACACGAACCCCCAAATCAGCTGACGGCCCTTCCAACTCTCACTCCCTTCTCCCATGCTCTCAAGGGAGCACGGGTGTTGAACAGAATGGCGGGCAGGCTTGCCTCTTGTTTCTTTCTTCTTTCTCTTTTTTGCTGACTATGTAGTACTCAAGTTGAATAAGTGAAACATGCAGTTTTCCCAGCAAATTAACAGCTTGTGGAAAATATACTCCACAAAAAAAATTGTCTCTCTCTTTGCAACTAATTGTCTAAGTGTTTCTACAACTCTAAAAATACTATCCCTCTTAACTCCACTTCCTCTTTAAGTGCCAGCCTTAACTGGCCAAGGGTCACAAAAGCACTACTCAGCATACACAGCACTCTGCTATGCGATTTGTTATTTACAGATCTGTCTTCCCAACTGTGCTGTGAATTCCAAGGGCCGTATCATGTATCTCTCTGGGACTTAGCACAGTCTCTTGTTGAATGAATGGACGGACGGACAGAATGATGAATGCTTTAATAACAGCTATGTTGAGAGGCTCAGGCCAAGTAGATGAAAACTTTTTTTTGTAAAGACAGAGTACATTTTTAAGAAATACAATTACGAATACATATGAGGATGAAATAAAATAGTTTATCCTAAAAGAGCTAGGCAGATTGTTGGAGTCATGTAAAATGTTATTCGAGAACAGTCACTTGAAATATAGGGGACCCATGGTTCACAAATACGACATCAGAAGGCATCGGCACTCCCCAGCGAGATGGCCCAAAGCTGCCACTTGAAAGCCTTAAGTGAGGACTTGGTAAAGGGAGAAAGAGCACTAGGAACTGGGATTATTCTATAAATCGGCCACTAAATGGGATGGAAACTGACTCCTCCTATGTTCTACTCAGGTTGTTGACCCCTTATGCTCTGATCTGAAGTTTATATTATTCTTGATCCCCACCCAAAAGAGCCTCTGGAATCAAAAACTCTTTAAGATGTTACAGGTGACAGGAACTGTGGAGACGATTCAGTCTAAGCTTCTCATTCATGGAGTAAGAAGTCAAAGAAAAGGCCTTGCCCAGGGTAACTCAGTTGCAGCAGCAGGCAGGACCAGAAGCAGACCATCTCTGCCATCCCTCTTTCTAATCCCCACACCTGATACACGCTTCTTTCTGTGAAAATGGGCTCTATGACTTTGGAAAGAGATCGGCAGGCTGTACACCAATTGTAAGGGTCAGTCTCCCCCAAAAGACAATGAGTCATGGAGGGCAGGACTGTGTTTTGTTCAGTATTTTATTGCCAAGGGATAGCATGATGTCTGCCACACGTTAGCCTGTTAGTATATACTTGTTGAATGAATGAATGAATGAATGATGGAGTACAAGATACAGCAGAAGATCAAAGCCACAGGCAGTGCAGTTTTTACGCATAAAGACTTTAATGTGTGACTCCTGAAATTCAGTTAACTCTGACCAGATTTGCCGCTGACAATGACTCCTTACTCCTCCTCAAGAAAGAAAAGAAGAAAATGTCAGGAATGTCAGAATTTTAAAGTGTATTATTAAATACCCAGTCAGGTTAGGTCACATCTGCAATTGCTTTAAGTTGGGCCAGCTGTGGAGTGGGTGAGAGCAGACTTTATGGCAACAACAAAAAGAGAAACATGTGCTCTGTTAGGGGAAAAATATACCACAGCTTCTGATGTCACCCTCCACATGTAACTAGTGTGGTTTCCAGCTCATTCTGTTTTCTCCCACTCTGAAAAGAGGCCCCCATGATTTCTCTTCAAGTTCTACCTCCGCCTTCTCAGTGACCTGATGCAGACGTCCTGTGTATATGTGGACCCAGGGTCCCTGCTGAGCTCTGGAAGATAATTTCACACCAGTACCTGTCACTACAGAGCAAAACATCACATCTCCAAACTCCCTTGGGAGGACTTGGTGATTTCTCACCATGAAGAATTTGGCACAGCAAGATAAACCGTATAAATCAGAGTCGAAGATTTCACACTACGCGAGACGCAAACATCAGACTTGATACCATAAGACGTGAAATTAAACATACCCTTTTCATTTTGCTCCCTCCTCAGCCTGGCCAAATACCACAGCCATTTCATCTGTTACATATGCTCCAACCAAAAACTTTTCAGAATGTCCCCACAGATCGTTTGCCAGCACTCTAGGAGAGGTAAAAGCCAACACCCACACTCAGTTATGTGTTGCATGACTCATGAAAGTCACCACAAACTGCTCTGACGATGGTAAGGTGACACAGAGAAAGACAAGCAATCAGGATGGAGCTATGACTGGACCCTGGCCAATAACAGGAACAGGTGAAAGGACCACCAGAGCTAACGGAGCCTCTACTGCTGGCCAAAGTTTGCCCCCCACATCCCAGAGGCCCATGCTAGGCTCAAACTCAGGAGAAGTACAAGAAGCTTGAAGCCCAGCCCAGGGCCCTTCCTGATGGCCAGAAAGATAGCAGCAAGTAGGATGGATACTGTGAAGACAAAACAAACAAACAAACAAACCACTTTTCCTACTCTCTACTTTCACACACCACTCAACACTTCTGACACCAGATAAGTGAGTTCTTCCCTACACACACACACACCATGCAATTCTCCATCATACACCAATTGGGTACCCTCCAATTCAATTCTGACACTATCTACCTGGAGAGAGCATCAGATCCCACAGGTTAAGGTCTCAGTCCTATAAGGCGGCTCCCACCTCAAACACCCATCACAAGTACTAGGTTGTCACCTATACTTCTGACCAACTGGCTATAAATTGGGGTTCCCATGATCCCTGCCTTATGTTTGATCAATATGCTAGAATGGCTCACAAAACTCAAGGAAACACTTTATTTTAAATAAACAAAATAAAGGCTACACTTGAATAGCCAGATGACGAGAAACAGAGGGTGAGGCATGTGAGAAGGGTGCAGAGCTTCCATGCCTTCCCTGGGTGCACCACCCTCTGGGAACTCCCACATGTTCAGGAATCCCAAAGCTCTCTAAACCCAGACCTTCTGGATTTTTATGGAGGCTTCATTATGTAAGCATGATAGAATATACCACTGGCTGATGACCAACTCACCTTTTTGCTTCTCTCTCTTCCCTGGAGATTGGAGAATGGGGCTGAAAATTCCTACTAATTCCTCTAATCTCGGGGTTGGTTTCCCTGGCAACCAGTTCCCATCCTGAGGCTATCCCAGAGCCCCCCAAGAGTCATTTCATTAGAGCAAAAGATGCTCTTATCACCTAGGAGATTATGATGGTCTTAGAAACTCTATGTCAGGAACCAGGATCAAAGACCAAATATTACAACAAAAGATTCTCCTAGCGTCACTATCTACAAAGATTTTAGGGTCTTCAAATCAGGAACTAGGGTCAGAGACCTATATATTTCTCATTATACTACAGTATCACAGGTTCTAATTAATATAGAGCTCCAACATAGTTTCAATCAACTAGGCTTTGTTTCAAATTCCTTGCAGTTTCACATTTCTATATTTAATAATTTATTTTAAATTTAGACTGAAGGGAGGGGTGGAAGTAGGGAATTAACCATGGGTCACAGTTTTTTGGAGTGATTGACATGTTCAATATTTTGACAGTGGTGATGGTTTTACAGGTATATACATGTGCCAAAACCTATCAAACTATAACTTTAAATGTACAGTTTGTTGTATGTTAATTATATCTCAATAAAATCTTTAAAAATTATTTCCACTCAATTTCAATAGTTATTGTTGAAAGTATTCTCGTAATCACTAATTTTTTTTTTTTTTTTGAGTTGGAGTCTCACTCTGTCACTCAGACTGGAGTGCAGTGGCCACTTCCGGCCACTGCAGCCTCGACCTGCTGAGCTCCGGTGATCCTTCCGCATCAGCCTTCCGAGTAGCCGGAACTACAGGCATGTGCTACCACGCCCGGCTGATTTTTTAATTTTTATTGTAGAGATGAGGTCTCGATGCCCAGGCGGGTCTCGAACCCGCGGGCTCAGGCAATCCACTCACCTCAGCCTCCCAAAGGCGCGGGATTACAGGCTGAGCCACTGAGCCCGGCTATAATCACTAATTTTTAAAAGAGTGGAGTTTCAAATGTCCATTCATAAGTAATCTACTTCATTTCATAACTTTTTTCTTTTTTTTTTTTGAGTTGGAGTCTCACTCTTGTCACCCAGGCTGGAGTGCAGTGGCCCGCTCATAGCCACCACACCCTGGATCTGCTGGGTTCAGGCGAAACTTCCACCTTAGCCTTCCAAGTAGCTGGAACTACAGATGCATGCCACCATGCCCTGCTAGTGATTTATTGTAGTGACAAGGTCTCACCAAGTTGCCTAGGCTGGTCTCAAACCCCCAGACTCAGACAATCCTCTCACCTCGGCCTCCCAAAGTGCTAGAATTACAGGCTAAGCCACCGTGCCCGGCCACCGTAACATGCTTTCTTACAGGAACTGGTTTAACACACAGAGTCAAGCTACAGTACTAGGTTCCCACAATTCCTCAGGGGATTCATTTCAGGTTCCAAAAACAGCTCCAGCCCGGAAAGACTGTTTTCTGTATTCATCCCTGCTCCCTGATCCTCGGCAGTAGAGAAGGCTCCCTGCTCTGCTTCTGACCTCTGTCTACCACACAGAGAATGCTTCCCTTTCTCACTCCCTGACCCCAGGTCCCCAGATTTCCATTAAGAAAACAAATTTATACATAACAAATCCTGCTCTGGGCCAATGCAACGTATCTCAGAGAAAGAACACTAAGCACTTATGAGATCCCATTCAGGAAATCTGTAACAATGCCTCATGCTCCCTGGTTTTTAGCAGTCCCAACACGAGCACGAACATGCACACTCAGTTCCATAACATGCTGGCTGGGCAGAGTGCCTTCCCTGTTCCTGGCAAACACCACCAATTCTGTGGAATTGTATGCCATGATGCCCCCCTTTATTAAAACTGCCAGGAGTAGAGGGCCTCGGCCTTCATCGGTAAATGCTCTTAGGAGAGGCCTGTCAGCTGCCAGGGAGTCTGAACGCGGGAGCTGACGGAGGATGGAAGTGCTGAGAAGCCACCTTTCCCCAGAAGCCCAGAATGTCCTCACACCACTCCACAGATCAAGACAAGGTGCCCTTCAGCCATTTCTTCCCCAAAGTCCCTGACTCTGCAGCAGGCAAGCAGTGGCCATTCCATCTATCCAACAGCAGTGCCCTGTGGGCTCTCCCAGCTCAGGCACCTTCAGAGGGGAGTGGAGAGCAGCACAGGGCAGGACTTCCAGCTCTCCCTTTGGTTCCTTTAGTTTAGCTTCCAGGGCTTGAGACCCAAGAGGTTCACAGTGAGGAGCAGCCCTGGAGAGAGGGGGCATTGGCAGGCCCAGGCCCTCCCTCACACACAAGCCCAACTTCCCAATCGTTCTCTCAGTATGTCACAATTCAGGAGACCTGTCATGCCCACATAACCAGGCATACAAGTCCTCTCTCTTCCTGAAACGCAAACCAAATTACCTGCTGTGGAAATCTGAAAACCACAACCATATAAAGTGAATTCGGAAGCCCTATCTCACTGGGCTCTGGGTTCTGAGATAGCCTTTGGATCTGGTGAGGATCTAAAGGTCACAGATCAGAAGAGGATATATGTGGGGAGTGGGGTAGGAGAAGAGAAGAAAGTCTTTACTTCTCTTAGCAGTAAGTTCCAGGAGTAACGGAATCTGTGAGAAGAAAAAGACCCTTAACTACAACAGAAGATGGGGGTATTGGGAAGTGGCAGTGAGGGAGGGAGGGAAAACTCGCCAAAAAACCTCATTACTGCCCAACTTGCTGCCTTTAAGACACTAGGGTTGTGGAAGACTAAATGCAGGGCTGGCCACATTCCAAGCTCTAGGTTCCCCTAGTGATGAAGGTATTACCTAGTGGCCTCTAACTTGAGCAGTATTTTATAACTCAAAACAGGGCCACAGCAGAGGTGGACAAGGCCATACTGGAAAAGGTAGGGTTCCAAATACCCATTGTAAATCAATCACTGTTGGGAAAGCAAGATGATTTTTCTCACAGATATGTGATGCCATACTGGTTTGTTAGGTTCCCAGGTTAGCCCACAAAACCCAATTTTACTTACGTTTAGGGCCAATAACGTTACTTAAACCATACCTAGTCTATGCATAGCTTTGTTTTAATAGAAACATGCACTCTGAATTCCAGTTTGGGCATTACCTGGCCCCTTGAGGGGTGAGTAGGCACTGAAAGCTACAACCATATTGAAACCTAGAAGGAAAGGGACAGCTGAAGGCAAACTGCCCAGAACACAGAGTTGTACTTGCCATTCTCCTAAGAGAAGGATGATAGGTCTGAGCCAAGCACTTCCTTGGTATTATGAATGGAGGGAAAGGAAGGTAGGAAGGAGAAAGTCTGGGAAGTGATTCTGTGGAATACAGGCTTGAGAAATGACTTCTAAACCATTTCTGTAAGACTTGCCTTTTTTATATTAGAGCCAAGTTCACATGATGGGTTGCCATAGCACAGAATTTAATAGGACCACTCAGGGTCCCTCTGAAAGAACTTGATTACAATCAGATCCTAGGTAGGTAGCCAAAACACCGATTGATGTTGACTGTTCCTGGATTCTTCTCTCCCATGTTAGTTTGAGCTGTATGCTGAGCTCCATGAACCTGAGGAATGCCAACCATCCCGCCCACTGTGTAACAAGGTCAGTCTCACAGTGTGCACCTGTGGCTAGTGGGTGCCTCCCTCTCCTCAGATGGAGAATACAGAGGCAGGATCAGCACAGGCAGCTGGATGGGTGGAAACTACTGCCCACCCATACGAGAAGCCAGAATCCAAACACATCCTGGGCTGCTGGCCTAAGTCTGACTGAGCCACATTCATTGGGTCATTGAGATCAGCTGATGATGAGAGTCAAATGGCAAAGGTGAGGGGGAGACTCATCAAGCCAGGTGGCCTTCTCTACCCTGACCCTGAGTGAAGGCGGAAGATGCCAAAGTCAAAGGGACGGGGGAGCAGAGTCAAGCACACCAGCACGGTATACTGCCCACCTGAACCCACATTCACTCCCAGGGCCTCACTGGGAGAGGGTGGAACAGAGGTGGTATGGGGGCAGAAGTTGGTGACTTACACTGTAAGCATTGATGATCAGTTGGATGATATTTTTGGAGTCTCCATGTAAAATCTCCACCGTTGTTCCAGGTATCAGGGCTGTAAAATTCTTGAAAAAAAAATAAATAAACAAGAGAAATAATAAGTCTATTTTGCCCTTTTATACTATCAAAGAGTAAATACTACTATACTGAGCTAGAACAGTGAAGGCTTCTGGCTACTCTCTCACACCATAAATTGGAGAAGATGCCTCAAGGAAAGACAAGAAGAACTGGCATGGGGGGACAGAGTTGTTGCAGTAGACTGTGGAAGATTCATCCCCATAGATCTGAGAGGAAACACCTTTCCCTATGTCTTGGACTCCTCCTCTCTGGCATGTAACGAACAATTCTCTGAAAGTCCATCCTCTAAGAGCGACAGCTCTTGATGACGGATTTTCTTGCCATCTCTCCCTGGCCTATGAAGGTTATTCCCAGGTTCTCCTTCAAGGATGTGCTCAACCTGTTTGGCAGAAGAGAAAAGAACAAATTTCCCAAGGGTTTCAAACACAGCCTCTTTCTTTAATAAGGAACTGAGATAAGAATGGTGCCTTCCCAAGGACCACCGGATATCTCTCAGTGAGGCCCTGTGGCAAAGGGGGGCAGCCTTAAAGTACTTATCTTCTCCCCTTCACCTGTACTAACTCCTGAGTGTGTCACTTGTAACAGTGACATAAACATCCAGTGCCCTCAGCCTGCCAGGGACTGCATTGGCTTCTTCCCTGAACAAGGCATATTTGGTTCCAAGGAAGGACAGCTTTAGGTAAATTTCTTTCCTCTGAAAACATCTGGAAGTCCAGTACTCTGTGCAACAGAGCTCTTAAAACTGCCATTTGTAAATGAATGGACTTTATCCTACAATCTTTTACTAAAAAAAAAGAAAAAAAAAGAAAAACAATCCTGTCCCCTTGTTTTCATTTTCTAAGACTGATTCAGACTAAAGGAAGATAAAGAACTCAAGAAGGTATAATTGGAATTTTATCAGTGATAATCTTGGGCAGGAGCAATAGAAAAACACCATCAGACAAAGGTTCTTTTGTAGATATTTAAGGGTAAGAAGGAGAGGGAACCAGGGTCAGCTGTTCTGGAGGCTGAGGGTGGAGAGGGATTCCAGATTAAGTTTGTATAACCTCTCAATTTAGAGGATGTCGGGGGTGAGCTGTGCTTTACATTTAGCTTACATGAGCACTCAGAGGAGATTTCCAGCTCAAAATGTGGCTCATCTGTGATTGTGAGAAAGAGCAAGCTCATGAGGGGAGCTTATGAGGACGGTCCAGAGGTGACCCAGGAAAGTCTCTTTAGACAGATTTATGCACAGACTGCTCTATTCACTCAGGACCTTATTGTTTTCTTTGGGAATTCCTGCTTCTTTTGAAAATTCCTGCCCCAGGGTAACCCACTGGCCTCCCATTCTCTGCAGGCTAAGGCAGACGGCCTGGATTACCAGGGTGAGCAATGCAGCCTGATTAGATGCCTTACTTTTCTTTCTGTATATTTTCATTTTATATTTTCCTTCCTTCTTAGAGTGTGTCTCTGTGTTTCTATTTCTTTGCCTGAAAAATGGAAGTTCATACCAGTTTCAAGGTTTTTCTCAGGATCAAATTAGATATGTTTACATTTTTTTAATAGGCAGTCACTGCTAAGTGAATGCTTAATAGTTCCCTTAATACTATTATTTTCCACTACATCAAGACAGGGCTATATTCCATCCCTCCTTTGAATCTCCCACACACAGAGTAGGGCTGTAAACACTGCTCACTCCCTACTTCACCCCACCCCACATCCTAATTTCCCATTCACTTTAGGGCTAGCACGGCCCCCAAAACTAAGCCACCAGCCTCCTTCCCTCCCGGCATACCTTGTAGAGCATATAATGGTTTTTTGTCACTGCAAAGATGAGGTTGATGTTGTTCTCTGCCAATTTCTCTCCAAGCAAGGCAAGCGATGGATAGTCCTAGGGCCAAGGCAAAAGTCAAGGCTGTAGCATTTCTCACAGGTGGAGACACTAGCACTTCGCCCAATACACACTCAGCAGCTCAGTCCTTGTCATGAAAAGCTTCCTTCCCTCAGGTGGCCCCTTAAAGTCCCTTGATGACCAAGCATCTTTGCAGCTCCTGAACTGAGGAACTGGGGAAGGGAGACCCAAGGGAAAGAGCCTCTGATACCCGCCCAATTAGACTCGCTCCTCCCAACCCAGAGTGGAGCAGTAATGAGCAGAGGTTTTCCATACCTGGTCTGGGCCTCCATCCTTCCATCCTGGAAGCGGGAGAGGGAGAGGTCCTGAATTCAACAGCCACCACAGTCTACCACCTGCCATCAGCACCTGGTATCCTTCCTTTCTTCCTTAAGACTTTCCCTCCCTCACTCCTTGTCCTATTTTCCTTTTCCCATGCCCAAAGGTTAGGGCTGCTAAGGTCCCCTGCAAGCCCTGCGTAGTGTGGCTCATGGCTCAGAACAGGCAAAAACTGCTGCTGACCTCTGGACCAAAAGTTGGGCCATGGTTTTGGTGGGGGAGCTCTTCAGAGAGAGGAGGGAGGGAGGAAGCTGAGAAGCAGTTTAACGGTATCCTTATGGATTTTCAGAGCTAATGAAGGGTACAAGGGTTCTCATCAGGTGAGGTCCTATAGGTGTAGTCCTGCTTCCAGACTCATTATTCCTAGATAAGATGGAAGGCTTACGCCACCCACCTTTTGAAACTGGAGAAAACAGGCTTGTCTAGGAAAGAAAATTCGGAAGAATTCCTCTTTGTCCAGACAATATAATGGATTTGGGAAAGAAAAGGGTGTTGATTTGAGGGGCAGAATTACATAATAAGTATGTCAAGATCTTGATAATTGTTGGGTCTGGGTGATGGGTACACAGGGGTTCATTTTACTGGTCCATCTCTTATTACATATGTTTGAAATTTTGCATAAATTATTTTAAATTGCAGTGGTGCTCATAGACTATTGGGGGCGGAAGTTTCTTGGGGCCTCCCATTCCATGCAGAACGCCTCTGCCCACTCCTGACACAGACAAGGAACTCACTACCTTAGGGAGCCTATTTCTAGAAGTCAGGAAGTCTTGCCCTATAACTTCTATCCCAGTTGTGACCTCTGAGAGGGCACAGTTCCCACATTCCTGTAAGATCCCCTCTCCCCCATGATACCTACCATTTCCCCTGAATTTTCTCTTTCTCCGACTGAACACTCCTCATTTAGGTGCACAATGACAGAAAGATGAACCAACTATAGAAATCCCTGAGAAATATCCTAAGTGAAGGAGGAATTTTAGAAGCCTAGCTGGAGAAGATGGAATAATGAAACCCAGTCCCAAGAATGGATGAGAAAGCCAGTGAGCATTGAGAGCCAGTGAAAGCTTTCAAGCCTTGGGCGAGCACTCAGAGGACAGGCCGGGTCATAGGAAATATATGGGGATCCCAGACCCTGGCCCTCACCATCTGGTTGGATGCAGTGTATTCATTGGCCTCATTCAGGTGGCACTGGCCATCGTGCGGCTGCACCAGGCCTCCCAATTTTCCATCCAGTGCGATGTGGGGCACATCATCCGTTGTGAACACCAGCAGGTGCAGTGCGTCCTTGCGCCAGCCGATCTTTTCCTAAAGGACAGAAGCGGGGTGGGTGCAACAATTTTCCTGCCCAAGCCTGCCCTTGGGCATTACACAAAGCACTGGCCTGTCTCCAGAGGTCAAGGTCTGAATCAAAGGCGTTCCCTTTGCTGTGTGTCCCTGGGGCGGACTCACAAAACCACTGGGGAGGGATTCCACAGAGGCTCAGAAGAGACACAGCCTGAATAAGGAAGCCCAGGTGCACAGAAACAAATCTCCAAGCCTTTGCCCACACGGGCCCAGGAGCCTTGAACCCCTCCCCTAGTCCACCATATCTTCTCTGCTTCTTTCTTTTTTCTCTTTTTTGAGTTGGAGTCTCACTCCATTGCCCAGGCTGGAGTGCAGTGTCAACCTGCTGGACTCAGTGATCCTTCCGCCTCAGCCTTTCAAGTAACTGGAACTACAGGCACGTGCTACCACGTCCAACTAATTTTTTTGTTGCTATTGTTTATTGTAGAAACGAGGTCTTGCCAAGTTACCCGGGTTGATCTTGAACCCTCAGGCTCAGGCAACTACTCACCTCAGCCTCCCAGTTCAGCCTCCCAAAATGCTGGGATTACAAGCTGAGTCACCGAGCCCAGCCTCTGCGCCTTTCAATGATCCCAAGGGCTGCTCCTCCAACATGCTTCCCCTTTTAACCTGACCTGCTAGTTCTTCCCCAGAACAACTTTAAGCCCCTTTCCCCAATCTCCCCCCATCAATATACTCTGGCTGGCAAGGCTTGTCTAAGAAGATAGATTTTTGTTTTGTTTTGTTTTGTTTTTGAGTTGGAGTCTCACTCTGTTGCCCAGACTGGAGTTCAGTGACATGCTCCCAGCCACTGCAGCCTCGACCTGCTGGGCTCCAGCAATCCTTCCGCCTCAGCCTTCCATTAGCTGGAACTACAGGTGCACGCTACCACGCCCAGATAATTTTTTTTTATTTACTATAGAGATGAGGTCTTGCCAAGTTGCCCAGGTGGGTCTCGAACCCGCGGGCTCAAGCAATCCACTCACCTCAGCCTCCCAAGGCGTGGGATTACAGGCTGAGCCACTGAGCCCGGCTTAAGAAGATAGTTAAGTGAACACACCAGTCCCCTCATTAGACATGAGTCCCTCAGAACAGAGTGCTCAGATGATCAATAGGTATAGGTTTGTCTTTTGGGAGTTGGTAAAACCTGCTATCTATTCTCTAGTAGATGAGAACCACTCCAGTCATTCGTTGTGCCATGCTGGCCCTTAAAGTCAATCAGATCCCTTTTCTCTCTGTTCAGATCCACTACCTGAAAGTTATCCAAATTTCAGACTGAGGCACAGCTAAATACAATTTATATTGCAAAGGAAAGATTCTGAATTTTTTTTTTTTCACTTGGAGTCTCACCCTGTCACCCAGGCTGGAGTGCAGCAGTATGCTCCCAGCTACCACAGCCTCGACCTGCTGGCCTCAGGCGATCTTCTGCCTCAGTCTTCCAAGTAGCTGGAACTACAGGGGCATGCCGCCACACCTGGCTAATTTTTAAAAATTTTCTGTAGAGATGAGGTCTTACACCAAGTTACCCAGGCTGGTCTCAAAACCCTGGGCTCAGGCAATCCTCTCACTTCAGCCTCCCAAAACACTGGGATTACAGGTGTGAGCCACTGTGCCTGGCTAGATTCTGCATTTTTAATCTTCAGCCACTGTGGCCCCAAAACTACACAAAAACACTCCCAATCACCAAATTTAGGAGCAGCTAGATGCTGATACACAGCAACAAGAACTGGGATAGAGTTGCCTTCTTACTCATGGTAAAAAGGCATCCTAAAATGTGTTGAGACAAGAGCAAATATATGAAGGATTTAAACACTGCCAAGAGTTATCTATACTTGTACATTTGCTATTGAACTAGGAAACTGGATTTACAAACCTTACAAGTTAAAAGCTATTGCTCTCAGGCTGGGCGCGGTGGCTCATGTCTGCGATTCCAGCATTTTGGGAGGTGGAGGCAGGAGGATTGCCTGAGCCCAGAAGTTCAAGACCAGTCTAAGTAACATAGTGAGACCTTGTCTCTACAAAAAAACTTAAAAATTAGCAAGGTGTGGTGGCACGCACCTGTAGTCCCAGCTACTCAGGAAGCTGAGGCAGGAAGACCACCTGAGCCCGGGAGTTTGAGGCTGCGGTGGGCCATGATCATGCCACTCTAAGTGCCCTGACTCATGGAAGGAAGTGGGGGAGGGAGGGGCAGAAGAAGGAAACAGCTATTGCTCTCTTATAGCACATGAGGAGGTGAGGGTGCCATCCTCTCTTACTTATCCTCATGATGAGTAAAACAGCCTAAACAGCTGATATTTTCTCACTTGCTCCAGGAGCAGCACAGAAATAAAGTAAATAAATAAATCACAAAAAGAGCAACACGAGAGGGAGGGGGAGTTTGAAAAGAAGCCAGGGAGGACTGAAAGCCACGAGACATACTGCATGCAAAAACATTAACCTTTTGGGGAATTAGATTCCTAGACATTCAACATTCAGCCAACACACAATTACTGATCTCTTACTGCATGCCAGGCCTCATAGAAGGCCCTGGGGCCCCTGGGAAGCTTGTTCCAGATCTCGAACTTGCTGTCAAATGGAAACAGCAGCTTCAAGACACCATGACAAGAGTGTAAATGGTGGAAAATCCAATGTTGACGGAAGCCAGAAAGAGAAGGAGGGAAAGGCCTCCCAGCATAAAGGCAACTGAGGCCAAGCTGGAAGGATGAGGAGGATACTTCAAGGGAGCTGGAAGAAGAAAGAAGGGAGATGGCAGGGAGGGGGTAGGCATTCTAGTTGCTAGCAAAGCACACAGTGAGGAGGCCGGGCACATGTTAGGGACCTGGAAGCCTAGAAGATCCCTGATGGCAATCAAATGCTAAGCCCTGACAAAACTATAGGGTAGAAGTCGGAATAGTGGCTCCCCTTGCTGGCAGGATTGGAAGGGATCACCAAGAAGCATCCAGGGTGCTGGTAATGTTCTATTTCTTTTTTTTAAAAAAACAATTTTTTTGAGAGGCAGGGTTTTGCTCTGTTGCCCAGGTGAGAGTATAGTGGCACAATCATGGCTCACTGAAACCCACAACTCCTGGGCTCAGGCGATCCTCCAGCCTACGCTTTCCAGGTAGCTGGGACTATGGTGAATGCCACCATGCCTGGCTAATTTAAAAAAAAAAAAAATTTTTGTGGTTGGGCACAGTGGCTCAAGCCTATAATCTCAGCACTTTGGGAGGCTGAGGTGAGAGGACTGCCTGAGCCTACAAATTCGAGAACAGCCTGGGCAACTTGGCAAGACCTCATCTCTACAATAAAATCAAAAAATTGGCCAGGTGTGGTAGTGCCTGCCTGTAGTTCTGGAAGGCTGAGGCAGAAGGATCGCCTGATCCCAGAAGGTCAACGCTGGAGTAGCCATGAGCGTGCCACTGCACTCCAGCCTGGGTGATGGAGTGAAACTCAAACACAAAAGAAAAAAAAATTTTTTTGTAGACATAGGGTATCACTGTGTTGCCCATGCTGGACTTGAATTCCTAGCCTCAAGTGATCCTCCTGCCTCAGCTTCCCAAAGTGCAGAATTACATGCATGCACCACAGAACTTGGCCTGTTCTGTTTCTTAGCCTGTTATTTTTACCTTGTCAACATTTATCAAGATGTACTTTAATATATAGTTTTCTGTGTGTATATTACATTTTTTTATAAAATGTTAAAATAAAGGAATGCATTATAAGCCATGGAATGTGGGAAAGGCGAGGCCAGATGCTTGGAAGATAATGCACAATCAAGAGAGTATAAACTGGCATGATTTTTCTGCAGGAAAAATCTGATCTTTTATCCACAAGGGCACTGCCATGTGCTAAACACCCTCACAAGAAAGTAGAAGGACAACCTTTAATTTAATAAAGTGTATTACGAAAAATTGGAGACCTAAATAAATGGACAGAGATATCATTTTCATGACTGGCAGAGCCAATGGTGTTGACATATCATTTCTTCAGAAATTGATTTATAGGTTTGACATGATCATAATTAAAAGCCAAAAAGCCTTTTTGAGAAAATTATAAGCTGATTCTAAAAGTTATAGGGAATTATAAATGAAAAAGTCTAGCCAAACAATTCTGAAAAAGAACAAAGTTGGAGGACTTACTATCTGAGGCCAAGACTTATTACAAAGCAACAGTAATCAAGACAGTGTAGCACTGACAAAAGTTTAGATGCATAGATCTGTGGAACAGAATAAGAAATAGAATCATACATAAACAGTCAATTTAGCAGAGAATACTGGAACAACTGGACATCCCTGTGCATAAAAATGTTCAACACGTATCTCTCATCATATACAAAAATTAACTCAAAGTGGATCACAGATCTAAATGAAGATCTAAAGCTACACAAAAATTCTGGAGGAAATACAGGAGAAAATCTTTGCAGCTTTGGTATAGGCAAAGATTTCCTAAATAAGATGACCTATAGGATAAAAAAACTGATGAATTGAGACAGGTGTGGTGGCTCACACCTGTAATCCCAAGGACTCGGGAAGCTGAGGTAGGAGAATCACTTGAGTCCAGGAGTTCAAGACTAGCCTGGACAACATAGAGACCCCATCTCTAAAAAACTAAAACAAAATTAAGCCGGGCATGGCAGCACGTGCCTGTAGTCCTAGCTACTTGAGAGTTTAGGGCAGGAGAATTGCTTAAGCCCAGGAGTTCAAGACTAGTGAGCTATGATCGTGTCACTGCACTTCAGACTAGGTAACAAAGCAAGACAGAACTTGACTCTAAAAAATAAAATTTTTAAATTGTATTATTTATTTATTGAGTCAGAGTCTCACCCTGTAATCCAGGTTGGAGTGCAGTGGCATGCTCACAGCCACTGCAGCCTCAACCTGCTGGGCTCAGATGATCCTTCCACCTTGGTCTTCCAAGTAGCTGGAGCCACAGGTGCATGCCACCATGCTCAGCTAATTTTTCGATTTATTGTAGAAACGAGGTCTCACCAAGTTTCCCAGGCT